CATAAAGCCAAGCAATAAAAATCACCTCTGCAACTATGGCTCGATTCGTGGGTTTGGGAGTTTTTTACAATGAAAAAGTTAAAGTCAGTTTCTTGACATAATAATTTTTAATTGAGAAAAAAAGTTACTTTTTTGCAAAATTCGTATCATAAATACTGCTAGTCTGCATATGATATGGGGGTTAAACTTTCTTGCAAACCATCATATGTGTTGCTGCCTTCCCTCAGCACAAGAGGTCTAGAAAAATTGCAAGGCCCTCGCTGTTCATAGACTATCTTCCCACAACACAAACTTGCCTATATTAACTTTGCTTTCCATTAAGGGTGATTTGCGAGGGGCAATGTCCTTGTGTTTGAGGGTAGGCTGGGTGGAGAGTGAGGCTTGTGCTCAGTAGCTTACAGCTTGGAAGAGCATGCTTTTTGGTTAGGTTTTATTTTAGAGGGCATTTGGGTCAATTTAAGTGAGTTTTTGGCTATATTTGAAAGTTTTTAAAAAACTGACATTTATGAATTTGAGGGTTAAATTTTGGCTATTTTTGATAAAAACTCTAAAATGTTTTGGTAGCTTCTCATTATATCAAGGCTGTTCTACACAAATGGAGTTGATGCCATTTGGTGTTAGCATCAAATGGCATTCATTTTCTCTGGAAATGGCCACAGGACCTTAATTCTAGTGGAGTGGTAAAGAATGACATGCTTTATAATTCTTTCCTATTAGATTTCTCCTCTCTTTCCTTTCGAATTGAAACCGAAGCGACAGTTGGTCATTTGATTCTAATGATATTGATTGAACGCAGGCAACTCCCAAGGTTCACCCTAATTTATGGAAACCAAGGAGTGGCTTAGAGCTGATGAACAATGACCTTCCCAGCACCAACCCTGAAGACTCTATGTCTTGCTTTGATTTGTCCAAGAATGAAAATATCTTATATCAGCAACAGGAGGGGTGATCTCCATTTTTGACATGACAACATTTAAGGTAAACCCAACACATAGTATTCTTGAAATTTTCTTTTCCCAGCCAAAACTTCCCAAATCTTGTTTGTCAATATGCTTAGGTTCTGTTTGCAAATTTCTCATGCTCTAACTCATTGTACCCATAAAAATCTGTTGCGTAAAAACGCATACGATGAAGAAAGTCAGGCCACCGCCACCTGCGGCAACATGTCTTGCTTTTCACTCCCGAGATGATGGTATAGTTGCTATTGGCATGGACAATTCCACCATTGTAATATACAATCTCCACTCAGACAAGGAAATTTGTTTGTTCTTGTAATAAAACAAATCATGCTCGATGTTGTGATGAAGCAAACCCGAAAAGTTTGTCATTGCCTTGATTTAAATATTTTGCAGGTTACAAGGAAGCTTGAGGGTCACTCCAAAAGAGTCACTAGCCTTGCCTTCTCGAACACTCTGAATGTACTAGTTTCTTCTGGTGCTGATGCATATTGGAAACTACAATATTACTTTCAGACATGGCTTCTACTCTAATGTGACTTCTGTTATTTAACGACGTCGTTTTGGCCCTGCAGATTTTTGTGTGGGAAAAACAGAGAAGCAAATTGTTGCAGATTCCAGATGGGAAGGAGTTGAGATCATTGTCAGATACTTACAACCAAATTCACCAGAATGAGCTGCATCTCCTTGCCATAAACAAGACTCACCTTGCAGTATATGAAGTGAAAGCTCTAGCATGTGTTTAGGAGGGGAGGCTACCCCATCCCAAGGTCAAGGCATACCAAGGCCTCTTTGGGGAACCATTTGGCTTTTTAATTCTTCACATCGGGATTAAAAACAAAAGGCACCCAAAAAGGGATCAGGCCACTCAATGATTCACCATGAATTTTTTTTTTTCGAATACAAAGATGTAGTCACCGCCCCTTCACAAGTATATGTTACTAACCTATACAAATTGTGTATCAATTTTTACTTTGCCTTGCATTGCAAATGCTCAAAAAGATCCTGCATATTTTACAATTGATTTCAAGAAAGATAAGGTTCTTTTTGAAAATTCTGCAAGCTAAGTATTCTTCAACTGGTCACACTATCTCTAGGAGGTTTTCCCTTTGGAATGACCTCCGGTAGTTGCAACATCACAAATGTAAAACAGAGATGATAGGCCTGCCACCTTTTTGGCTATGACCTGCAATCATCTCCTGATTCGCTTTTATATGTGTTGTTGCATAAGGAACCTGTTGTGTCAAACTTTTCACATGGACACTCTACCATCCTCGCCAAAACAAAACTAAGCATGGCACATCATTGTGCTGTGGTGTTTTTGTGTGCCTTGCAAATTCTCCTTTGCATAGAGAAAACGAACCATGAACGTAACCAACAGAGGGGATAAAAGATCAAGAGTCCTGAAAATTCCAAGAAACGGATCTCCTTGTAGAAAGGTCCTACTGCTGAAGCTGCAAAATGCATACATCATGTGATTAATAACTTGCATATCAGATGTAGATATCAAACAATTTGGCATGCAAAGCAAGGCAAAAAGTAAATGAAATCAGCAAAAGACAATGTCCATGGATGCATCTAACAAAACATTAGCTTATTTGTTTTGGTTGTCAAATGGCTGCAGTATTCCTAAGTTATTACATACATTTGGCTCTTTACAGATCAGGTCAGTATTAAAATTCCATTACTGATTTCAGTTCATCATCATATCACATTAGTCCCACCAGTTTTAACTCAAAGTTTATTCTCAAGTCTCCATTAAGGTTGCACCAACTATCAGTTTGTATATTTGTTTATCCAAAAGGATCCCAAAATCTGCTTCAAATATTTGAATATGAACTGTATGCCATACGACTAATTGCATTGAAAAGCCAATCAAAGGATTTAGAAGAAATAACCAGATTCAAAATTAAATCTTGCTAAACCTCAAACAGTATTTCTTTGGTCTATAGGATTAACTTCTCGTAACCGGCATTAGTAAAGCGGGGCAATTTCTACTCTTATCAAACTCATGAGATCAGAAGTCACATAAACTGACTACCAACACCTCAACTACAGAGGGACCTATTTTCAATTAAGAAAAACCTATATTGCCAAAAGACAAAATTTTGAATAAAGATGCTTAATATTTTATTGACACAGCAAAGAATCATAATTTCTTATAAACTCTAACGCTATTTTGAGATGGTCTGAAACTTTTACTTTGGAATTCAACAAATTAGTGACTTCAATTGATTCAAACAACTAGATAATCCTAAGTTATCCAAATTTCAATATTAATGAGAAAAGGAATTATGTGAAGGATTTTCTTTCGTTTTTTCATGTCAGTAGGTTGTTGTCTGGAATATGGAAACACTGCAAACTGAAAGCACACCAGAGGGCACTCCTTGATAATTACTGATGTTCGATTTAGACCAAATTCAATTCAGTTGGCAACTTCTTCATTTGACACAAGGACCTGTCTCTTTTGACTTCTGCTTTCATTATTTTATAGCTTCTACTTCTGTAAAAATGCTCCCTGATTTGCTTCAATTATATTTAATATTTCTTAGGATGTCTAGAAATAGAAACATATCCCTGGCATGAGACTAGCTTTCTTTCTTTACTGATAGGACCCATAAATTGCCTTCAGCAGGAAAGCTGAAAGGTGATCAACTTAAAAACAGCTGCAAACATGCAACAAGCTAGGCAGTATACACTTTCAGTAAGCATAAGCAAACATTCTGCACAGCATATCTCACGTTAATTCCTTTAAAAACTAGACAAAACAACAACTATATAACAAAAGCTCATCCTAAGAACAACAAACACCACACACACACAGAGCAAATATCAAATTCCAAGAGACTGAATAAGCATTGCTTATTTTTGGATAGCGAAAACAACATATAATGCAAAAGAAAAGCACAAAACAAGCACAAAAAGTACTAATCAGATGAGTTAACCCTCCAATCAACAGGCCGCCATGCCTTTTCTTTTGTTGTCATTTAAAAACATAGGAAATTTGGATAGTTGAGATTGCCTTGAAAAATTAATCTGAAAAGAAAAAAAAATCTAGACTGTTGAGATTATGTTGAAGGAAAAAACTGAAACTAGTATTAACTTAGCATAACATAATACACACACTCATTATCATCACCTTCTTCAATCCTTACCTGGACTAGTGCCAATGAAGGCATTCTCTAACTGGAAGGTGTCCTTCTTCGAGGTATAGGCTCTTTTGTCTGTCTTTCGTTTTGGCTGCAACTGGAAGGTGTTCCTTCTTCGAGGTATAAAGATGTCCAAATTTTCCTTCTCAAACCCTAAATCTAACTCGAGCTGTCTCCCCTCTCTCTCTCGCTCAGACATAACCCGCGATCTATCTGCTTCTTCAATCCTCATCTCTCTCTCTCTCTCTCTCTCTCTCTCACATAGCATCATCATCATCTCATTTTTCTGAGTCAGACTCGCCCAGACACACCCAGACACGCCCAGGTCGCCTAGGTGGGCGCCCAGCGCCTAGGTGCCGTCTAGGCCGATTTTTGGAACACTAATTGGTTAAATGAGCAGGCAGTCTGAAACAAAATGCCTTGATAACAATGTTGAAGCCGTAGCTTATCATGTGAATCTAAAATCATCAAAACAGGAGAAATAAAAGAGCCACCATGAAAACCCTTTGGGCGGCCGCCTAAGCGCCGCCTAGGCCAATTTTTCAAACACTGGCTGGTTAAATGAGCAGGCACTCTGAAACAAAATGCCTTGATAACAATGTTGAAGCCATAGCTTAACATGTGAATCTAAAATCATCAAAACAGGAGAAATAAAATAGCCATCATAAAAACCCTCTGGGTAGCCGCCTAGGCGGCCGCCTAGCGCCGCCTAGCGCCTAGGCCGATTTTTCAAACACTGGCTGGTTAAATGAGCAGGCACTCTGAAACAAAATGGCTTGATAACAATGTTGAAGCCGTAGCTTAACATGTTTGGTCAGCAGTGTCCTTCTGCCTAGGTTGATTTTTCGAACATTGCCTGAATTACATCAATGCTTTAACAGTTTATTAGCCATACCTACTTATGCTGTGTTTCTGAGACAGCATGGTGATCAGTGGCAGAAAGACTACCCTCTTTAGCCAATCTAGGAGACTTTTGAAGCTTCTCTCTTTTACAACGGCGCCATGCTGTTTGCAAAACACAAGCTGCCCTTGGTTCCCATTGCTGCAAACCAAAGCTGTTACTGGCGGACCTATTAAGCTGCACCTCCCCTCGCCGGAAAATCTCTTGCAGCTGCAACTGAGGCTGCCTGAGGCGCAGTTCTTGTGAAGAAGATGACCACTGCGCCCTGGTTTTCTTTCTGATAATACCAAAATGAAACGACGCCGTTTTGAATTTGGGGAATGAAATCCTCTTAATGAAACGGTGTGTTTTGTGACTTGAAAACATTTCATTTTAACCGTATTAATGAAATCCTTTTATTGAATTCCTATTACGAAAATTCTGTGGTGCATCGGCTGTACCGGTACAGCCACTCATCTAAGGGTTCATATTTCATTTTAAAAATCAAGGGTTGAGATTGAATGACCTGATGACTTGTTCACTCCTTTCTTATTAAAGTCACGTGCACTGGAGCTGCTTCATCTTTGCAATATCTCTCTCTCTCTCTCAAATCCAATCCTCATCTTTGTCCCCAAGTCGGAATCTGAGCATCTCCTCTCTGCCGACACCGTGATGCAAGAACCATCAGAGAGGAGATTGAGTGGGGTGATTCAGTCGAGTTCGACGGGGGTGGTGTGGAAGGCCTTTATTTGAGTAGAAATTCAACGACTTAGTGTTGAATATGGAGTGAGGATGTCTGTGTTGCAGAGCCTTTGATGGGAGAAAAAATTCAACGCCTTGGACTGAATCTTGGTGATTTTTTCTTTTCCCTCTTTTAATAATTATTAATATTTTAATATTTTCTTTTAATTTCATCACAGCATCAGACCCACTGTGATCCTTTCTCCATCAAACCCATGTAATTTTCATTTTATGGAGGATTTGTTTTCTTCCATGTATGAGGTTATGGATTTGTGTTTCAAAATAAGATTTTGAACAATCAGGTTGTTGATTTTCTTTAAAGTCTTGGATTCTTGAATTTTCTTCCTACTTTTTTTTTTTTTTTTTTTTTTTTTTTTCAATCTGTTTTATTACTCAAGAACTCTGGTCATGATGAATCCAATTGGAGTTTTTGGGCTTGTTAGTTGGAGAATTGAGGTTGGCATCAAAAGAGAAAGATGAGTTCTTTAACTGAGAAACCTCATAACTGGTTTTGGTTTCTTCAATCCAAGTGGTTGATGGTTAACTTTTGCAAGACACATTTGTCAGAGCAGGTGCTTTCCTAGCTATAGAATTTTAATACCAGTATTAACATCCAACACATTGTTTTGCTATATTATTTCTTATATGCAATTGCATATAGTTTTTGTGCAATTGCATACAGTTTATGCAATTTTTGACCCCCTGTATGCAATTAGCGATAGTGTGATGTTTAAAGAAATGTTTGACTCGAATGCTATGTCATTGAGTTATTTACCCATTAACAATCTAGTAACAATTAAGGTTTCGTTCTTTGAGTATGTTGCGTTCATTTGATAAATTTAAATTTTGGTATGTTCGGTAAGAAAAAATAAGAGTTCACGAGAAAGAAGAAGACATGAATTTTTATTTATTTATAGGTGAAGTGTCTTCGGTTGCCATTACCATTTCAAAGATTGTATTGCTAAATCTGTAAGTGTATGGTTCAAATGTGATGTTCATGATTGGTATTGGTTGTTGTGATTGTCGTAACTGCTATATATTGTTCGTTTGTTTGGTTAAACTTATTTATCTGTTTTGCAGATCAATAGCTTCATTTTGGTTTATTACCAAGCATCCATTTGATATGTGATTTGGCAATAGAACGTAAATTCAGCCACTATTCCTGTTTTCATTAGTTGATATTAGTTTTGTTCTTTAAACTATTTATTCTGTTTTGTTGTGCATAATGGATGAAGTCAACAAATTTCAGGGGGGAACAATTAAGAGATAAAGCTATGAAGCATTTAGGGTATATACATTACTAATATGATTGTCTTTTTAGCAGAGAAATAATTAGTATAGCTCTACTTTTTCTTTGCTTTTCCTTTTTCTGGGTAAAGAGTTAGTTTAAGTACAGAGTTGCTGTATGAAATTTGTTAATGTTTTTGGGTGATATTTGTTTTCTCTTTGTATAAAAAGCCTTAAAGGCTTCTAATATTTCCATTTTCCCAATTGAACGCCCATATTAGTCCCTTTTCCTATAATAGGAACATTTGGTTGCAATTTTTTTCTTTCCTGTTCTGTATTCAGTTTAAGTTTCATGCTTCATGATTGTAATGTTTTTTTATTTTATTTTAAAAGAAAAGCGATACTTTTCTTAGTTGCACTATTATTTACTTCAATTTGGGTAATTGTCATCATAGAATTTGATTGGTCGTATTTTGAGGTTCTTTTATTATTTGGTTGTTGTAGTTCATTATAATTACTGTTTTTTTTCTTTCTTGCTATTCAAATTTGTAGATTGTGTAATTTTACGATTTCTCTTGCGTCTGATTTTTTCCATTTTTCCTATTGTAGGTGCACAAATTGCAAGGAAGGTTCACATCACTGCATTGGTTACTGAAAAGGAGTATGGATTCACGAAAATTCTGCGGTGCCTCAGCTGTACCGGTACAGCCGGCTATCCAACGGCTAAGTTTCCATGTTAAAAAAGGATGGCTGAGATTCAATGACTTGGTGACCTGTTGAGCCCTTTGTTATTCAACATGTGAGTGGCATGTGAGGAAAGAGAAAGGCAGGTTTGGTGGATGAAGAAGACGCGCGCTCTCCTCTCTTGTTGCCCAAATCTGATCTTTCTTGATTAGGACCCTCTGTGTATTATTGTTGTATTAGGGTTAATCACATGTTGGTTTATGAAATTGAGGATATTTTGGAAAGTCATTTGTGCTACATGACAATGTGTATTAGTAATTGTAATTGTGGGTTTGGTCGATTTGTAATAGAATATGTTCGGCTTATAGCCCAACCCTTAGCATTTATTTGAATGCTCTGTATTTCTGTTGATTTCGCCCTTCGATTTATAGTTAAAGAAATAGGTCTACTTATGCCTGTACCGAAAAAAAAAGATCAATTTTTGGTTATGATGGGTTTGCGCACAGTCACTCTCGCATTGCATCAACGTCGTGCAATTGCATGTCTACAATGCAAATGCTGACCGGGTGTGTGCAAACTAAAGCTAGCTTCAAAACGCTAACCTAATTAATGGATAGTGCAAAGACAAAGAAAAGGAGGTTCCGAATTTGATTAGGACCCTCTGTGTATTATTTTTGTATTAGGGTTAATCACATTTGGTTTACGAAATTGAGGATATTTTGGAAAGTCATTTGTGCTACATGACAATGTGTATTAGTATGTAATTTCGATTGGTCGATTTGTAATAGAATATGTTCGGCTTATAGCCCAACCCTTAGCATTTATTTGAATGCTCTGTATTTCTGTTGATTTCGCCCTTCGATTTATAGCTAAAGAAATAGGTCTACTTATGCCTGTACCGAAAAAAAAAGATCAATTTTTGGTTATGATGGGTTTGCGCACAGTCACTCTCGCATTGCATCAACGTCGTGCAATTGCATGTCTACAATGCAAATGCTGACCGGGTGTGTGCAAACTAAAGCTAGCTTCAAAACTAAACCCGTTCGCCTAAAATATGCGCCAACCACGTTACTTGTTCTAGTGAACGTAATGCTTGCGTTTGTACAGTAAAGTTACCCGTTCAACGAAAAATGAGCCCAATGAACTGACTTTTTCAAAAAAACGGGAACATTGTTCAACCGAACGCAAAGGTTTGCTTTCGTTCAAAAATGTTTGACGTTCCGCTGAAAAAGAGGGCCAAAAAACTTATTTTTCAAACGAACAGGGTATTTGTTCACACGAACGCAATGCGTGCGTTTCGCCAAAAAAGTTACCCTTTCGTCGAAACAATGCACCAACTAACTTACTTTATCAAACAAACGGGTTACTTTTTCACTCCAACACACACACATACGTTCGTTAAGGAATCATTTCTGTTCGTCCAAAAAAGATATCCAACCAACTTACTTTTCCATACAAACGAAGTATTGTTCTAGCAAACGGAAGAGTTGCGTTGGATCAGTAAAAATACCCGTTCAACGAAAAATGGGCCCAATTAACTAACTTTTTCAAACAAACGGGGAGTGTGTTCAACCGAACGCAAGGGTTTATTTTCGTTCAGAAAAATTCTACGTTCCACCGAAAAAAAGGCCAACAAACTTACTTTTGCAAACAAACGGGATTCTTTTTCACGCAAACAAAATGGGTGTGTTCGTTCAGTAAAGTTACTCGTTCAACGAAAAATGGGCCCAACTAACCAACTTTTTCAAACAAACAGGGAATGTGTTCACCCGAACGCAAGGGTTTACGTTGCTTCAGAAACATTAAACGTTACACCGAAAAAGAAGCCCAACAAACTTACTTTTGCAAACCAACGGCCTTCTTTTTCACACAAACGAAACGCATATGTTCGTTCAGTAAAGTTACTCGTTCAACGAAAAATTGGCCCAACTAACTAACTTTTTCAAACAAACGGGGAGTGTCTTCAACCGAACGCAAGGGTTTATTTTCGTTCAGAAAAATTCTACGTTCCACCGAAAAAAAGGCCAACAAACTTACTTTTGCAAACCAACGGGATTCTTTTTCACACAAACGAAATGGGTGTGTTCGTTCAATAAAGATACTCGTTCAACGAAAAATGAGCCCAACTAACCATCTTTTTCAAACAAACAGGGAATGTGTTCACCCGAACGCAAGGGTTTACGTTGCTTCAGAAAACTTAAACGTTACACCGAAAAAGAAGCCCAACAAACTTATTTTTGCAAACCAACGGGCCTTCTTTTTCACACAAACGAAACACGTATGTTCGTTCAGTAAAGTTAATCGTTCAACGAAAAATGGGCCCAACTAACTAACTTTTTCAAACAAACGGAGAGTGTGTTCAACCGAACGCAAGGGTTTATTTTCGTTCAGAAAAATTCTACGTTCCACCGAAAAAAAGGCCAACAAACTTACTTTTGCAAACCAACGGGATTCTTTTTCACACAAACGAAATGGGTGTGTTCGTTCAGTAAAGTTACTCGTTCAACGAAAAATGGGCCCAACTAACCAACTTTTTCAAACAAACAAGGAATTTGTTCAACCGAACGCAAGGGTATAGTTTGCTTTAGAAAAATTAAACGTTCCACCGAAAAAGAAGCCCAACAAACTTAGTTTTGCAAACCAACGGGCTTCTTTTTCACACAAACGAAATGGGTATGTTCGTTCAGTAAAGTTACTCGTTCAACGAAAAATTGGCCCAACCAACTTACTTTTTCAAACAAACCTAGTGTTTGTTCAAGTAAACATATAAATTACGTTCACTCAGTAAAGTTACCCGTTCCAACACAAATGAGCCCCACGAACCTTCTTTTTCAATCAAACGGAATGGGTTGCGTTTGCCCAGAAAAATGCCACGTTCCCCGGAAAAATAACGCCAACAACTAACTTTTTCAAACGAACGTGATTGTTGTTGACGCTATCGCAAGCGTTACGTTGGTTCAGTAAAGTTGATCGTTCCTTGGAACCATGGGCCCAACAAACTTACGTTTTCAAACAAACGGAGTATGTGTTCAAACGAACGCATGGTAGTGCGTTAGTTTAGAAAAAGTAGACCTTCCCCATAAAAAGAAACCCCAGTCAAAGACTTCTACCATATTAGACTACAGATGAAGGATTATTTAAAGAGTTACTTCCTATACATTTTAACTCAAAGACTTCCACCTCTTTTACTACGTAAACACAATCTGAGAGAAAAAAAAAACCCAAACAATGTCACATTCAATGGTTGGTAGCTCTCGAGGCTCCTTCACGCCCAAGAAGAAGATGGTGGATGATGATGATGGTGTTGATTCTTCGAATTATGCCCGCGAGCAAGTGAAACGAGCCCATGATGTCACGAAGACTCCCACCGAGACGTGTAAGAACATGTTTCATGAAGGAGATTCAACCACCAGGTACGAACTTTACAATGGCGGGATTGATATCGGCTTTGAGATCTTTAGGAAATACACTCAGTTTGTTGATGCTGGTTCAACTAAGTGGGACAAAATCGAGGTATTCCAAGCAATTGCTATTTTGGAGAAGCGAGCTCCGTGAAGCACCGGTATTTTATAAGTATTGTGTTGTTGAGCTCGTGAAGCACCGGTATTTTATAAGTATTGTGTTGTTTGTCATAATTTCGGATGTAATTTCAGATGTTATAATTTCGGATGTAATTTCAGATGTTATAATTTCGGATGTAATTTCAGATGTTATAATTTCGGCGGATGTTAGATGTTATAATCAAATAGTTTGAGGGTTTAGTTTTGTAACAAAAAAACCCCAACATATGGTTAGGAGACCTTTATTATCAATGAACTAGGCACTCCTGTCTCGTAAATGAAGTCTGGGCCCCAGATATGCTATAATGTTCCCATTCTGGCAACAAAAAAAACTCATGTGTGCAATGTATTACACGAACTAGATAACGTGCAATTGGCCGTGATGTAATGCAATTGTACATGATATATTGCAAAAATAATGTCCCCGCATGCAAACAGGGAGAAGTACATGCAATTGCACTACATTAACCATCAACCCTATGTGACCTACTGTCAAACTTTCTACTTTGCCTGGGAGCGTGTCATTGGCTTCCTTGCGATGGGATGATGAGGGATGAAGGGACCATGTTGTTCAGCCAACTTGTCAAGTTCTTCGTCGACAACTCTTCGAGCGGACTCCCTTACTTCCTTTAGACACGTGTTGTTTGGGTTCTTCAGCAATGATAGTGCAACACGAACCCGCTCAGTTGCATGTTGAAACTGCAAAATGCATTTCGGCCAACTCTTGATTGTTGCATATTACTCTTCGCCTTGCGCTTTCCTTTCGCTGATCCCCTTTTTTGAGCTTCCATAACTTGCACAAATCAAGTACAAAACACTGTCATGCACTTGTCTCTAGCGCCGAGATTTTGAATACTAATCCAAAGCCTAATACACCCTAAACCCCCTAAACCCCGTAAACACCACAACATCACACATTGCTTAATTATAAAAATACGGGGACCTGGATTTGCACACAGTTGCTTAGTAATTGCATATACTGATATGCAATTGCACGACACTACTTGCAAGTGCATCAGACCTCGATTATAACATTGCACAGATAACGCACACAACCCACCCATGCATTTCTCCCATGGGCCGGGATTCTTACTCTTTTCAAATCCCAATCCAAATCTTAAGAGTTCGCGAGAAAGAAAAAGACATAAATTTTTGTTTTTTGTTTTGAGTCGAAGAAATTATTATTATTATTTTTTAAAGAAAAGCGTATGGGTGTGATATATACTATTGTTAATTTAATTGGATCTTTCCCCTTATATTTTTCATGTGCTTCTTTTTTAAAACTATTTTAAATTTTGTTCTTATAATAAAAAGAGAACAAAATTACGAATATATTCACATAACTAAAACTCGAACCTAGGCCTTGTACCAAGGGATATGCACTAGAAGCCAACTCCACTAAACACACTTTTTGTGTCAATGTGTTGCTCGACAATATACATATATATATATATAAATATATATAATAACATGTAAAATATGTTTTTCATATGAAAACCTCAACAAATTTTTCAAATCGACTTGATGATTACAATT